ATGATACAATCAGCGTCTTTTTTGTAGTGTTCTAACAATTATCTGAAATTAAATTATATTTGGGGTTAAAAAATCATATGTAAAAAAAAATATTTTTAAATTCGCCTCGGACCCCTAGAAGTCTAGGTACGGCACTGGACCTTTGATCATTCATGTACCTGACCAAACCACCATTGTTACTCCCATCCTTCTACGTAAAAACTAATTGTTCTGCGTTATCCTCCCGTGGTTACAGGTGAAAATAGAGGTTTTACCTTTGCTATCAAGGTCATATCAAACAAGACCTACACTGCCATACAAACTTCAACATAGTTTTCTCAAGCCGGGCATACTATGCATATAATCTCATCAAACAAAGATTTGGGTTTGAACAGATTTTCATCGTTGGTTTCTTCATATGTATTAAGAAGATGAAATGAATTATTAAAGTAAAAGAAACTAGTAGAAAGCCTTGTGAAACTTTCAACGAAGGCAATCTGGTTATGGTTACTGGTTAGGGAAGACGTAGGTTTGGGAAATAGAGGTTGCCATGGATGAAATATTTTAACACTCAAATTTTTAAAAAAATTTAGTTTGTTTTTTAACTATTATTATTATTTTTGAATCTTAGCTTTTAGTCGGTGAAGTTAGGATATCCGAAAGCCACAAATCCGACGAATCCGTACCCAAATCTAGATACCGTAAAATTTTAAGATATTGGGATCCATCCCAGCCCGCCCTAATACTGTAATCTACTTGTAATTTGAGTTTGGTCATTGTCTAGAAACATTTTTAACAATGAAATCTAGTTAGTTAAAAGAAAAGTAAAAAATTCGACCAACTACTGAAAGTGTACCTACTCACAAACATCAGACACGTGCATCATTTGCAGAAACCGGGTCGGATATTAAAACCCGTATTGATTGGGTCGGATAGTTAAATCATCGTCAGAGATAACACTTAACACACGGCATCTTCTCCTACCTTCTATATATACGAATGCTCTCTCGTCTTAAAATGGCCGTCACTTTCATCGCTTCATCTCAGTTTCTGCAATCGCACCTCTCTATTCTTCTTCTTCTTCAAGAGCCTAAGCCATGACTCACACTCTCGGCCTCACTCAACCCAACTCCACTCAGTCTCCAAAGGTTTTTTTTTTTTTTCCTCTTTGCTTTTTACTGTGATTCTGAGATGGGTTTGATCCGTAGATCCGATT